GGTATCTACTTCATTCAAGCCTTTCTGTGGGAGGACCCCCAGACCCCTGCCAGTGTGCCCCCCCCCCCACCCCAACATTATGAATGATGTCACTGAAATATGTAATAATAATGTAAGGACAACTTATGGTGCTCCATGTGTAGAACACAACTGGACTGTTGTGGTAGTTTCTAGTCTCTGAACTTCACAGAATCAATAATATTCTCTGTAAAATAAACTGAAATAATCTGTTAGTAAATCTTTAACTCTTATACTGCCGTAGTTTTCAAACAGCATCATAAAATTTCTGTTATGGATTTTAGTTTTGGTGTTCCAGCCCTGGTTTTTAGTGGCCTCCCCTGAAAAAATAAAAAACTCTGCAGGCGCCACGGGCATCCAGTCAGCGTCTCGTCTGTAGCAAAGATCGTGAAGTAAGTGTTGTGTCAGAAACCACAGAGATGTTCTCACAGCTGGAAGCTTTTCATGCTTCATGTGAAAAAACATTAAAATTACAAACAAATGAACATAGATGAGACGTAGGAGAGAAACCCTCCCACAGACAGACAGTTTGTAGCTCTGAGCCTCCCCCTCAGCAGACGGGCAGCCAGGCTGGAAACACTGAGAGGCATTCAGCGGCTCAACGTGAACCCAAGCAGAACCAACAGAACCCGGCCTGGTTCTGCCACACACCGGCCTGCTGGTGTTTAAACACTGAGCCTCTCGTCATCATCATCACTGAAACACAGGCCCGATGCAGCTGATGACCAGCTCATGTTAAAATGTCGTTCTCTCATCAGAAACACAGAGTGCTGCTTTGACTCATCCATGCATGTTGGAGAAATCCTTGAATGTCCTGTAGCCACGTAACCGCTTGCTGGTACAAAGCTCTGCCTATTTATTATATATTAATATAATTATCAGTGGTGGGCAGCGCTAATCCAAAAATTAGCTCCGCAATTTCTAAAGCGCTCATGAAAATATTTAGGTCCACTACTTCAGAAGTGCTTCTGCGATAGAAAAACTAACAGAAGCTTGTTTTAAAGCGCAAGTTAAACTTGACACTTACCAGCTGACAATAATTCATGTACAATATATACACAACACTGCCAACTAGTGGTGTATGAACTCTTTTACAGCTTAATTCTACAACAGCTGATTACTGAGGATGTGATTTCCTGAAACAGACCTTTGGCTCCTGGTGTAAAAATTAAAAAGTTGTTGAGGATTGCTAGTTCGGCTGATTCTTTAAAAAATTGTTGAGGATTGCTAGTTCGGCTGCTTCTTTGTCTTTGTCTTTTGTTTGTTGTAGATTTTTCATTAAAGAAGCATCAATAAAGTAATTTTAAAACTGTTTATTGGAAAACTGAAGCGATGCATTCTGGGTGCATGACGGATTTCATTTGTGACGGGAAACGAAAGCACGGAGAACAGGAAACTGTCTTCCTTCAAATTAAGAGCTTGGATTTTACAGTTTTCCATGTAGTTGCGCCAGTTGACCACTAGATGTCAGTCTTCATCTGCATAACATCTTTAAATCATCTCTGTGTTGCTTCGACCAATTACGTCAAGTATTGAGCTCCAGCGTTTAAACTTTATTTTTTTTTTAAAAAGGAGGTCAGATTGTAAAGTAAAATAAATCAAAACATACAAAATTTTAGTATGGATTACAAACGTTAACTGTTTTTGCTATTGCCTTCCTGCTACGTAAGCAGACACAAAGCATTGTGGGAAACGCTGACCCAAAGCAACAGTCAGCAGGATGTATACCTTCACAATAAGTGTGTTTATCTGGGAGGGGTGCTGTTGGATAGATCACATGTGTTGTGATTCATTGACAGTCATACCTTCTGCTGTTCAACATAATGATGACTGGTAGATAATTAGTTATTAGTGGTACTGCATTTTAATTTTAGAAAGTGCAAATCAGCTTATGAATTATAAAAATTAGAAACACTGCTATTGCTGCTAGCACTGCTAACACTGCTAATGCTGCGAACACTGCTAATGGTGCTAGCACTGCTAACACTGCTAATGCTGCTATCACTGCTTATATCGCTAACACTGCTAACACTTCCCTACCAGACATCAAACTTGCAGTAGCGGCTGGTGTTCCAGCTTCACTTCAAACTGCCGGACCACAGCTCCCATCATTGTTGTTTTCAATTAACATATTTGTAATTTAAATCTTAAATACCATCTTCAGCAATGTTAGCATTCGTCTCAGGATGATGATGTCACAACAAAAGCTGAGCAGCAACAGTAAAGGCTGCATTCCATTTTGTAACTCTTAAATGTAAACTTTATCATTTAGTTGCAACATTTAAGAATTAATTACCCCATTTAGATTTAGGATTTATTACATACATATATTATTTACCATTTAAATCTAAAATTTATTAAAAACTAGAAATTTAAGAATAGTGAGCTAATTGATAAAATAAAACTTTTTAAACAAGGGTTTTAAACTCAGAAAGTGAGCTAAATAATGAAGACCTGTTTGTGACGTTTTTAACATTTTATTTTACACTATGTGCTCGATATAAAAATGTAAATGCTTTTAGATCTTTGTCAGGGTTATACAACTCAGTCTGTGTGCCGATTAATTCACTTAATATAAAATACATTTTAAATCAGAAAAAATGATAGTTTTTGTTAAACAGAAGGAATTTTGGCCCGCTCTTCTTTCCAGCGTTGCTCAGGTCATTGAGGTTTGCAGACACTGGTTTCTCAGATCAGCAAAGATAAACTCAAGTCCTGACAGGCAGAAGTTCTCAGATTTGAACTGGGATCATGTATCTGAGTGTCTGATTCTAACTTGTCTCCATGCAGTGTTCCACTTCTCGCAGCGCTTCACCACCGTGGTCCCTGAAAGCTGCATGCTGATCCTGTTGGGTCTGGTTCTGGGCGGGATCGTCCTCATCGCCAATAAGAAGCAGCTGTACCAACTGGACCCTGCGCTCTTCTTCCTCTTCCTGCTGCCGACCATAGTGGGTGACGCCGGGTACTTCATGCCAGCCCGGCTCTTCTTCGACAACCTGGGGGCCATCCTGACGTACGCCGTGGTTGGTACCCTGTGGAACGCCTTCTGCACCGGGTTCTGTCTGTACGCCGCCAAACTGATGGGCGTCATAGGTCAGTGATGGGGTCAGAGGTCAGTGATGGGGTCAGAGGTCAGTGATGGGGTCATAGGTTACTGATGGGGTCAGAGGTTAGTGATGGGGTCAGAGGTCAGTGATGGGGTCATAGGTTACTGATGGGGTCAGAGGTTATTGATGGGGTCATAGGTTACTGATGGGGTCATAGGTTAGTGATGGGGTCAGAGGTTACTGATGGGGTCATAGGTTACTGATGGGGTCAGAGGTCAGTGATGGGGTCATAGGATATTGATGGGGTCAGAGGTTAGTGATGGGGTCATAGGTTAGTGATGGGGTCAGAGGTCAGTGATGGGGTCATAGGTTAGTGATGGGGTCAGAGGTTACTGATGGGGTCATAGGTTAGTGATGGGGTCAGAGGTCAGTGATGGGGTCATAGGTTAGTGATGGGGTCAGAGGTCAGTGATGGGGTCATAGGTTACTGATGGGGTCATAGGTTAGTGATGGGGTCAGAGGTTAGTGATGGGGTCATAGGTTACTGATGGGGTCATAGGTTACTGATGGGGTCATAGGTTAGTGATGGGGTCAGAGGTTAGTGATGGGGTCATAGGTCAGTGATGGGGTCAGAGGTCAGTGATGGGGTCAGAGGTCAGTGATGGGGTCAGAGGTTAGTGATGGGGTCAGAGGTTAGTGATGGGTCAGAGGTTAGTGTGGGGTCAGAGGTCAGTGATGGGGTCAGAGGTCAGTGATGGGGTCAGAGGTCAGTGATGGGGTCATAGGTCAGTGATGAGGTCATAGG